CCATATGATCCCCTGAGCACCGCCAGGAGTAATTCCTGAGTGCAGAGAGAGGAGCAACCCCTGAGCATTGCCAGGCGTGACCCAAAAAGCAAAAAAATGTTAACAGTGAAGAATATATACATTATGTACAGGGGCCATGGAGACTGTGCAGGGTGACGTACATGCACCTGACCCAGGTTTGGTCATACACACCACACGGACTCCTGATTGAGCACTGCCAGGTGTGGACCTGGAGGTCACTGAGAACCACCAAGCATGTCCCTAGAAGTGCCCAGCATGGGAGGGCTCTGGTTAACTCCACCAATTAACTTTGTTTCCCAAGTTCACTCTGAGTAGCTTCCAGGACCTAGGAGAAGCACTTTGGAGCCTCCCTCAAAAAAAAAAATTATAGACATACCATAAGAATTTACCTTCTGTTATATAAAAGTCCCCAATGTTTCCACACTATTCCTTAAGGAATAATTCTTCCCCAGTATTTTTCTTATGTAAACAATATGCAGAATTTATTTCTATAATTTCCCTGTTATTTATTTATTTTTGGGTGGGGGGCAGGGGTTGGCCCACACCTGGCAGTGCTCAGGGGCTATTCCTGGCTCTGCACTTAGAAGTCACTCCTGGCAGTACTTGGGAAACCATATGCTATGTTAGGGGTCAAACCAGGGTCATCTGCATGCATAGCAACAGAGCTACCCCTGTACTATCTGTCTGCCCCTCTTCTAGCAGGAAATTGAAATATGAGGTCAGTCTCTGTTTGGTTATTTGCTTCTGAGACATAAATCCTTGTGGTTCATAGTATGTAACACAGTGCTATCTCCCTATAGGCAAGGAAAAGACAGTGAAGAAGGACCATGAAAATGCAAACAAACCCTGAGACCTGATCAACAGACTAGGAAATGAGGGGTCTGGGGAACAAAGGGGTGGGGACAAGGATAATGGGGGGAGGTTCTTGAAACATTGGTGGAGGTACTGGAGTAGTAGCTCTGCAACTGGAAGGCGACTTTACTAGTGCTGTAAACTATGATACCCAAATAAAAATGTATTTAAATAAACTGGCACGCAACATAAAGGCTACTGTTTCCCTAGGGACTAATTAAAACTTATTTAAAACATAAAACTGAGTTTTGTAAGCCATGGTGCCTAAAATAATATTTAAAACATATATGTAACATCTTATATATTTAAAAAAATGATTGATAATAAAACACTCAAAGCAGTCTACAATGTTACATGTGGGAAAACAAGAAAGAGAAGGGGAGTGGGTTTAGGAGCCTCCAGATAGATTCAGGATAAAATCACCCTATATTTAAGTATTGAAGCACATGCCGTATGCAGCAAGTGGAGGTTCAGTCCCAGCACTGCTTGGCTCTGGAGCAGCATCAGAGCACAGTGAGCCCAGTCCAAGTGTGACCCCAAGCAAGAGCAAACCAACAACGCTGCCCACATGTTCTCCCAGCACTTCAACCGTACCACCTCTCACATGTCTGCACCCACTTGCATGCATACGGCACAGGCCTTGATGACTTCAGAGGACTCTGGAGAAAACGCACGTAAAGGGACTCAGTGAAGCCACTACTGCACTGTCACTGTTGTTCATCGATTTTTGCCCGAGCGGGCACCAGTAACGTCTCAATTGTGAGACTTGTTACTGCTTTTGGCATATCAAATACGCCCTGGGAGCTTACCAGCCTCTGCTGTGCAGGTGGGATATTCTCGGTAGCTTGCTGGGCTCTCCGAGACGGGCGGAAGAATCGAACCCGGATCGGATCGGCCACGTGCAAGGCAAACACTCTATGGGCTATGCTATCGCTCCAGCCCAGCTACTACTGATAGGTTAAGAAATGCTAAATGATTGTCAACAGAAGACTCAGGACCTCAGTGCAGGCTTGGGTTTTCCAGAAACACAGGGCACAGAGGATGGCCAGGAAGTTTATTGTTCATTGCTAAATTCTTATGTAAACTGAGTTTAATCTAGGTGTCTAATGTAAACAAGGCAGCTGCCCTTTCCAGAACAGAGAGAGGAGAGACAAGAAAGATGGGAGAGACATGAGACAGAGCACCCAACATGGGCAGGAAGGTCTGAAAGTAAAGCTACAGGCGCCAGAGACGTAAATATCAATCCTAACAGTCTACACCTGTCACCCCCAAAGGTTTCCACCAACTCCCTATTGACTTTATGATAAAATTTAAAAGACTGGTCAAACTGGACTCTCAGTACCAGGTGCCCCAACTTACCTAGAAAGCTGCTCTCACACTCCCACCTCTCTCTATACTCACTTTACAGTGTTTTCAATTCTCTTCCTGCACCTCTATTCTCTCTACCTGATGTTGGTCTCCTCACCACCCCATCATTCTCCCGCCCTAACTCCTACCCTTCTTTCCTCTCAGGTTGAATCCCCAGCTCTGCAGAAATGACCTCTGAGCACAAAGTCAGGAGGAATAAGCTTCCTGGGTACAGGCACTGTAGCTCCCAAAACAAAAACACATTTCGCCCCCAAAAGTCTTCCACCCTCAACAGATCCATCTACCTGTGCTATCTTCACACAGGCTGCATCATATTTTGCAGTTATCAAACAACTACTTAGTTGTAAGCCTGAAGATTTAATGTCCTAAATTATGCAAATTCTCTTTGTGGAAGCCAAACATTTGCAAAAGAAGACAACCAACAAGAGAAAATGACATTTGACAAGTGATAAATGAGTGCTCCAGGGTGGGAAAAGGGGAGACAGTTGAAGATGGGGAGAGAGACCAGACACCGGGCTGAAGGTGAACAGAAGAAATTGCAGGATGGGGTGAGAGGGGACATGAAACAGGGTTGCTGAGCGGGACAGCCTGGTGACTAGGTGGTGGGGCCCCCAACAGCAATGAGGTCAGTTAGAAATGCATTGGGGTCGAGTCCAAATGCAATGCGACAGCATCATATATTAAATGAGATGCTTTGCTACGACTGAATGAGACAGTGACTAGAAAACACTAGATAAGCAAAGGATGGTAGAAGGAGGGAGGGAGAGAGGGAGGGAGGGAGGGATAGGGAAGGAAGGAAGGAAGGAGGGAGGGAGGGAGGGAAGGAGGGAGGGAGGAAGGAGGGAGGAAGGAAGGAGGGAGGTAGAGAGGGAAGGAGGAAGAGGGAGGGAGGGAGGGAGGGAGGGAGGAAGGAAGGAAGGAAGGAAGGAAGGAAGGAAGGAAGGAAGGAAGGAGGGAAGGAGGGAGGGAAGGAGGGAGGGAGGAAGGAGGGAGGAAGGAAGGAGGGAGGTAGAGAGGGAAAGAGGAAGAGGGAGGGAGGGAGGGAGGGAGGGAGGGAGGAAGGAAGGAAGGAAGGAAGGAAGGAAGGAAGGAAGGAACGAAGGAAGGACAAATCTTTAACAAAACCAAAAGCTGGGGCAATGCCACACAAGAAAGGTAAGGAGCTGGGAATGAGAGACCGGCAAAGTTTGACCCTGCACAGATGCTTCAGGCATCTATGGAGGAAGAGGAGGGCGCGGGGTGCTCAGTGGGCAATGCATTGCTTCTGGGCAGAGAACCTGGGGCTACCTTAGGGGTGCGCGACCTCGGACCAGTCCCATGCCTTGGTTTCCCCCATCAGTGAGATTGACAAAACTTTTATCTTCTACCCATCTGCGAGCATTAAAAGTTTCAGGCAGAGAAGGGAGCACCAAATAAAGGGTGTTGGGAGGTTCCTCTCAGGATGGGAAGTGCGTGATGAGAGTAGACTATAGACTGAACAAGATTGCCACTCAATGTCTCTTTTGCAAACCACAGCATTCAAAAGGAGAGAGATAACAAAAGGGAGTGCCCTGCCACAGAGGTAGGGTGGGATGGGGGTTGGGGGGTGGGAGGGATACTGGGACTGGTGGTGGTGGAGGATGGGCACTGGTGGAGGGATGGGTATTCGATCATTGTATAACTGAAACCCAAGCACAAAAATTTGTAAGTCTACAACTGTACCTCATGGTGTCTCGCTAATAAAAATTAGAAAAATAAAGTTTCAGGCAGGTCCTGAAACTCGACAGACTCTGCCACTGGTGGGGAGATTCCGGTCGCCGGCGACCTTGAGGAATCTCCCGTTTCTCGCCGGGAGCAGGAGCAGAAGGTCTCTAGGGAAGGGAATTCCGAAGCAAGCGGCTGGGAGAGAGAAAGTGGAGCGGGCGCCGCGCCCCGAGGCCTCTTCCGACTGAGAACCGGAGGCGTGAGCGCCAGAGCACCCGAGAGCAGAAGAGTCTCGGCTGAAGGGGAGGGGGGACGTCCCGGGCAGTGGGCGCTTTCCGGCACGAGCTAGGCTGGCCCCGGCTACCGTCCGGTGGGACCTGCAGTTCCCAACAGGGGCTCTTGGAAGACCCACCCCGGCTTGGGTCCCCCGCGGGGTCGCAAAGCCCCCTTCCTCCGCAGCTCAGCCGGCGCTGCAGGGCGGCGCAGCGAGACCCCTTTCCTCCCGCACGGTGCACCCACGGGCCTTCCCCTCTCCCACCTCCTGCACAACCTGTTCGACGACTCTGCTCATCACTCGGCCGAGAGGCAGCGCCGGGTGGCAGAGCGGCACCCGGAGTTCATTCGGGGCTGCAGGAAACCCGGGCAGGGGCGCGGGGGGCAGGATGGGAGGACCCCGAGGCAGGGGCGCGGGGGGCAGGATGGGAGGACCCCGAAAGCCAGGGGCGGGCTGGCCGGAATCGCGCGGGAAGGCGCCCTCGGCGGCCAAGGTCGAGCAGGTCCCAGTCCCCGCCGGCCGCACCGCGGGGTCCGCTCGGGGGTTGGGGGGCTGCCCCGACCCCCTTGGGACGCCGGGATCTCCAGGCGGCGCCCAGAGTAGCCGCCGCCGCCGCAGGCCGAGGGGCTCTTGGAAGTTCCCCAGCGTTTCCCCGGAACCCCAGGGGCGCCGGGTCGGGCTCCGGATGCCCGTCCCGAGCTCCTGCCAGCCGAGCTGCGCCCAACGCCGCTGCCCACCCGCCCGCCCGTCCGGTGCGCGCCCGGGGAAAGTTTGCAACGGGGGCCGCGAGCCCCGAACTCACCGCGCGGGCAGCGGCTCCGGAGCGCCCGGCTGCGCACAGCGGCCCCTGCTGCCCTCGCTGCCCCGGCCGCCGGCCAGTGCGGGAGGGAGGCGGCCGCGGGGTGGCACCTGCCGCCGCCCCCACCCCGGCGCGTGACGCCACGCGGCGCCGCCCCCGGCCGCCAGGTACCCGCGAGGGGCCGGAGGAGGAGCCGGGAGCGGCCGCCCGCGCCCCACCCCGCCGCGCCCGCGCCCCCGCGCCCGGCGCTCCCCATCACCCGTGCCCGGCCGAGGCCGCTGCCAGCTGCCCGGGAAGCGGGTGTGCGGCGCCGTCCCGCGCGTCTCCGGCGGGAATCGAGAGATTCGGGAAGGGGGGAAACGGGGAAGACCCTGCCCCCGTCCCCCCCAAAGACTGCCTGGAGGGTGCGTGGGTCTGGGCAGAAATAGAGCCCAGAGGCACTGGGGAGGGAGGGGTGCAGCCCGGAAGCCCGGCTGAGGTCAGCGCCTGCTTATTAAGGAATTCAGATGAAGAACTTCAAATATTGGGCAGAGTCTGGCAAACTCCCTGTGTCGTACCCAATATGCCAAATACCAGTAACAAGGATGGGTCTCATTCTCCTAAAGAGCCTTGAATATAATCTCAGGCTGGGATGAAGGAGACGTTACTAGGGCCTGCCCGAGGCAATCCACGAATGACAGGATGATTTGTGATTGTGATTGTGAAATATTGGGGAAGCCAGGGGTTTAGAACAGACTGGCGCTAGTCAACTTTTTTTTTTTTTCCCTTTTACTAGTTGGAAAAAACTGCCGCAGGAAATCTATCAGAGCAAGGGATTTATTTTTCCTGCTGTGTGGGAAGGGGTGAGGATGGATAGAAGGAGAGCATCGCAAGTCATATCAACCTTAACTTATCTGCTGTCTGATTAGGGTCCTCATAATCTCATAGCCCGGGGACAGGGGAGAGAGAGAGAGAGAGAGAGAGAGAGAGAGAGAGAGAGAGAGAGAGAGAGAGAGAGACAGAGAGAGAGAGAGACAGAGAGAGAGACAGACAGACAGACAGAGACAGAGAGAGAGACAGACAGACAGACAGAGACAGAGACAGAGATACGGAGAGAGACAGACGTCACTTAAGAAGCAGAAATGAAGATTTATTAGGACTGGCTTCCAGAAAAAAAGAAAAATAACCTGAGGATTGTATCCGTGAGCCAAGCTCTTCATTCAGCTTGTGAGATCCTGCTGGGTTTTCTTTTAAGGCCAAGTTTAGGACAGAAGGAAGTTTAACCTCTTACAGGTTTTTGCCTTCCTGGCCTCATCCTACCTCCTGCCAGAGGTTTTGAATGTTTTGTGTAAACCTTTGAGAACCCACATACCAAGTGGGCATCAAAAGGAAAGCCAGCAAGCATGAAAATGAGAAAAAATAATCTCAAGAACCAGTAAAGCTTGAATTTAAGAGAATCTTGGATTCTAAGAAACTAAAAAATCTCCTTCTTATTCAGATAAATTATACTCTCATATTTAAAGGGGAGGTGGGTTTAATAGATTTTGGAAATTCTTTAGGCAATAGATACAACTGTTTGTATTTGCCTTTGAATCAGTCATTGTCTATATCTACTTATGAAATTTCAAATATAAAGGTCACAGAGAGGAATTATTTTGAGTAGTACTATGTTCCAAGCCTTCAACAAACAACAAATCAGAGAAAAAAAATTCTCTGTTCTTGCATGTTTTCAGTTCTTTTTTTTTTTTTCCTCAGTTGCAGCTGACAAGCCACAGATACTGAAACAAAATAAGGAGTGCCTGTTGGGTGACAGGGGTTTGAAGGGAAGGATTGTAAGGGATGGAGAGTGGAGAGTTGCAGTGTTAAAAGAGGTCAAAGAAGATCCCAATGAAAAGCGATACTTGAGCCCAAACTTGAACTTGCCTCTGAATCTATCCAAGAGCATTCCAACTTTTTCCAGCATTCCAGGGAGCAGCAGAAGCTAAAGGCCCCGGGGCATAAACATACCTGAGATGTTCATGCTCGTAAACCAGCAAGAAGCCTGGATTTCGCGCAAAGGGTTGGCTACATACTTTGCCTTTTGAACAACTGCACTGCCAAACAGTGAACCCAAGCACTGAGATGGGAGTCGCCTCTGAGCAACGCCTGGTGTGGCCCCAAATAACTCAAAACAAATAGACAAGCAAAAGACATAAAACAGCAAGGATGCCAGCGTGGTTGAATGGGACAGTGAGTGAGGATTGTCAGGATAAATGAAGTCAAAGGAAGCGTTTGGGGTCGGGGAGGGGGCACTGCAAAAAGTGCAGAAGGTGAGGTGCTGCCTTGCTTGCAACCAACCCAGACTTGTTCTCTGGCACAGCATATGGTCCCAAGAACACCTCCAGGAGTGATACCTGAACACAGAATCAGGAGTAGACCCTGAGCACCACCAGGTGTGTCTCCAAAGCAACAAAAAAATTATATTACTTGTAAATCAAATCCTTATGCTATATATACATCTTAAACTTGTACGGTAATATATGCCAATTACGTAACACTAAAACTAGGCGAAACCGTTTTTCTAAAAATGGAGACTGGAAAGATAGCTCGACAGGCTACATACATACTCTCATGCAGGAGGATCAGGTTTGGTCTTCGGCACCACATATGGTCCCCCGAGCACCTCCAGGAGTGACCCAGAACATTGAACGACAGGTGTGGTCCCAAAACAGGAGAGCAAAGGGAAGGGTTTGGGGGAGAGACGTGACATCATCGACTGAACTTTTTTTGAAGGAGAACTCTGGCAGCTTTTTTTTTGAGAATTAACTGATGAGTAGTTGGAGAAAGGCAGAAATAAATTAATCACTAGGAGGCTCCTACAAAATCCATGTAAGAAACAAAAGTGATGTGAACCAGGTTGGAGTAGTGAAAGGTGGTCGGATCTTTAAAATCTATTCTGAATGGAATCTTGACAGAATTGTCTGAGTTTCTGATGTGGGTGTGAGAGAAGGAAATGGAGTGAAGACAGAATCCAGGGGCTTGTCTTGAACCTTTGGAAGGAGAAAATAGCCATGTAGTAAGAAGAGGCAGATGTGAGGGGCGGAAAGGTGGGAAGGGAGGTAGCGAGGCGTTGTTGGGGGCAACTGAATTCATCTAAGACACTGCCTAGAAATCCCAGTGGACAGAGCAGGTAGGCCAGTGGTTACAGCAGTGGACCAGGAGGGCAGTATATATCTGAGAGTGGTCAGCCTCCTGATAATTTTTTTTTTTGAGTCACACTCAGCGATACACAGGGGTTACTCCTGGCTCTTCACTCAGGAATTACTCCTGGCGGTGCTTGGGGGACCACATAGGATGCTGAGAATCGAACCCAGTTCGGCCGTGTGCAAGGCAAACGCCCTACCTGCTGTGATATTGCTCCAGCCCCCCAATAATGTTTAAAGGTTTGAGAATGGCTAAGAATACCAGGAGTGAGGCTCGAGGTTTTATAGAGCCCAGTGGGAATTCCAGTGGTCAGGAAACCCAGAAGGAACCGTAGACTGCCCCATCTAAGTTGGGATAAAATCAGGAGCATGGGGGGCTGGGAGGAGAGAGTTCAATGGTTTTTCCACTCAGCATCGATTTTTGCCTGAGAAATTTTTACATAACCTGGGACATAGATATATCAAAATCATCACTGTATCATTGTATCACTGTCATCCCATTGTTCGTCCATTTACACGAGTGGGTGCCACTAACGTCTCTATTTGTCCCAGCCCTGAGATTTTAGCAACTCTCCTTACTTGTCATTCCTACCGATTGGAGACTCTTTTAGGATCAGGGGAGTGAGACCTGTTGTAGTTACTGGTTTTGGCATATCGAATACACCACGGGAAGCTTGCCAGGCTATATAGCTATATCTATTTGTATATCAAATAGATATACAAATCAAACATTTACTGTTAGTCATAAATGAATTTATTTTAAGGAAATTTTTTTATCAGAAAATACATGGTCACATACGGGCTTGCACCCACAGTTTGGCAATAACCTACCGAGTAAGTGGTCCACCATCAGCTTAGTCTTCTGTGCCACCACGTGCAGCCAAACCCATCTCTACTGCCTCAGGCTGGCTATGCTAGTATTTGATCCCATGCATCACAAACAAATCCTTGTCATACCATCACCAGGTGTGTGCAAGCATCCCAACACAAAAGGGGCACAGCCTCCATCAAGCACCACACCTGAGAAAGTGCGAGGACCCCAGTCAGGCAGTGTGACCCATGGGGAGTATGTGTTTGTGCATGAAGACAACTCCGGGTGAGCACTACCTGAATGTGTGCAAGTAGCTCAACTTTATTTATTTTTAGTTTTTACTTTCTTATTGGGGCTGGAGTGATAGCACAGAGGGTAGGGCGTTTGCCTTGCATGCAGCCAACATGGCCGATCCGAGTTCGATTCCTCCGCCCCTCTCGGAGAGCCCGGCAAGCTACTGAGAGTATCTCGCCCGCATGGCAGAGCCTGGCAAGCTACCCGTGACGTGTTCGATATGCCAAACACAGTAACAATTGTCACAATGGAGATGTTACTGGGCCTGCTTGAGCAAATCTATGAACTTCCTTATTGAATCACTGTGAGACAGATCCTTACAAAGCTGTTCATGATTGGATTTCAGTCATACGGTATTCCAACAACCATCCCTCCACCAGTGTACATTACTCAGAACCAGTGTCCCTAAGTTCCCTCCTGTCACTCCCCACCCTCTACCCACTGCCTGCCTCTTTGGCAGGTGCTTTTCTTCTTTTCTTCTTCTCTCTCTCTCTCCTTTTGGGCATTGTGGTTTGCAGTATTGATACTGAAAGGCAGAAATATCCCTTTACCAACTTTTAACCCTCAGATCTTCTCCAGAGTGAACATTCCCAGCTATGATTGTCATCCTGGTCTCTTCTCTATCTTACCTACCCTCAGCCCCACACATACTTGTGGTTAGTTCCCACCACTGACCAGTCCTCCTAGCCCCAGTTGTCCCTGGCCATGGATATTAGTCTTCTACTATATATTATTTTTATATACCACAATGAATGCAGTCATTTTATATCTGTCAGTCTCCTTCTGACTCATTTCACTCAGCATGATA